TCTATTTGCACGTCGCAATGATAGCACGCACTGCGAGAAAAAAGGCAGGAGCTCACTCGTAATCGACTGAATGAGCAGTCACAGTACATCAAGCTCACACGAGAAGTACCAAGGAACGAACCATAAGCGATTGATCGAGTACTAACAAATCAGAAGCTTCAGACCATCTCCAGGCCTCTGAAGAAGACGAAGCGGTCGAAACGTCAGGCCAGTTAATAAAGATTCCATCTTAAAAACCTCGTTTGGCACAGTACTTACGTACAAATGATATCAAATGCCGAGGTTTCAACAAAGGACGATATGGAGTCTGCTGGTAGTTCACAATATCTTGCTTGGATGAAGCAGACGAGCAGCGCGCCATGTCGACTGCCCCCCCCCCCTTGACTGCAGTAGCACCCAAGTGTCGCATAATGCTACTCTACTATGTATTTTGTTGCCATTGACAGACGTGTATTATGAATTCGCTTCCTCCTCATCTCTTTAACCGATTGTAACCATCTAGTCCCTTACCATTTTTTGTCATTTCTGCCAAAAAAGTGTACGTTAAAATTGATTTATGTGAACGTTTGTACAAGTCATTATGATGAAGATCGTATAACGCCATATGTGATCAAATTCAGCAGCAAAGAACCTTTATATCAGTGTCGTCGCATTGTGTCATGATGTGAACACTCGTAGCTGGTCAGGTAGTCGCCATTTGTACATTCTAGTCAATCTCGGCTGAATATCAACATGTGATTATTCGCAGGCATGTCGTGTCGAGCCACCAATCGCATACCACAGCGCATAGCCAACTAAATGTAAATCAGTACAAATTATGTGTGTCTATTTTGAAAAAAAAAATCACCGGAAGCCTTTATGGTCGTTGAAAAAATGCAACGCGTGCTGACGGAAATGGCACTATTTCTTGATTCCTTCATTCACCAATAATAGTCTTAGCTGGGTGTATGCGGAAAAGGAAAAGCTCGCCAGCGGCGCAGTCGTGTGCGCGTGCTTATGACGTCACGGCGACTAGGTGGGACGAGCGCGGCGGGAAAACGACCTGTGGCGAACTCCGTTGCCAATAAGAAGAATGGGGTAGCTGGCAGCTTACCAACCTGCGCTCAATCCATAAGTGGTCCTGAGAGCGACATGATTGTATTACTTTAGATACTCATGCTCGCGCCGGGGAAATAAATACTCCACATTAGTATGAGGGAAGTCACCACCTTCATTTTGGACCCTGTTTAATGCACTTCAGGTTCATGATAATAGGTGCTTCCATCAGTCTTCGTTTTCGATCCCTACCTACTATTATACTTACTTCCCAATGAGTTAAAGCACGATGAATTTTCGTATTACAAGAAAATCGAAAGCTTCAGTGGCACCTCTGTCCCTTGCTAGTTCCCTCTCCACCGCTGTGACGTCACAGTGACATCATCAACCGCGAACGCATCCGCGCCTCTGGTGAGCTACTGTGGAGTCCGTGCGCAATGCACACGGGTACCCGACAGGAGGCCCGTCGCGCGGCAAGAAGGCAGAGTCGCGGACGAGTCGCAGCGCGTGATGTGCGATGTAGGACGTACAATGGACATTCTATTTAACTTGACGCGAAATCATTACAGTACGCGCGCGACTCGTCCGCTGACTCTGCCTTCTTGCCGCGCGACGGGCCTCCTGTCGGGTACCCACTGCAACGACTAACAAGGCATAGACTGAGTCCCGGTACCCCAGCAAGCTTGCATGCAGACTTATTATACCAGCAGACATATGCATAGGTATTAAATATTGTTTTATTTATTGCTAAATCTTGTGGCAGTATGGCTCACATGCGACATTGTTATCGAAGGTCTTTTGTTATGTTATTGTTACTGTTAATTATGCGGCAATCAAGTATCTCGTGGCCAGTGATGGTCGGGCTTGTCGACGGTTCGTCGAGGATTTTGCCTGTTCGGTCACGCTCTCCCGCGCGCACATGCACTCTCGCCATGCGCAAGCAGTCTGTGCTCTCCACGTGTAACATTCCTTCTCAACATTCGATCGCTTTATGTCATGTCTGTATCGCAGACTCACCGGCACGAGATACAAAGTATTACAATTTTATCACTAATCGCTTCCTTCACCTTAGAACGGCTCAAAATATGTCTTAAAGCACAGCAGCTCTGTTTGCTACTTACCTCATTCAGATCTCGGACATCTCTTAAGCCCCACTCAGGGTTTCGACTGCGTAGACTGTCATCAAATTCGACATTACTTTGAGGTGAAATAACTCCATCAATTGCATATGGTCCATATGTAATAAGAAGTCCTGTACCACGTCTTAATAGTATACTAGAAGCCTGAAAGAAGAAAATAAAGTTGACGAATTGAGGAATATACAAAAAAGGTTACTATTCCACTATTACTGCCCCAAAATCTCAAAATTTTATTTTTCGTCGAAACTTTGCCTATAGGGGTAATTCGATGCCCTGATTACGAATATGACATTCATTTTTGATGCTGGCGCCATTTGGCGCCAGTTGGCGCCACCTTGTCACGACGGCTGTTTTCACCAAATTCGGTGTAAACTTGTACATAGGGGTTATTTGGTGTCCTGATTACGAATATGACATTTATTTTTGACGCTTGCGCCATTTCCCTTTTTCTGCTCGTCTGCGCCCTCGCACTGGGTTGATCACTATCAGGACTAAGCCCTTGGGGAAAGGAGGGCTCAGAGGTGAGTGAGCCACTCACCCTGATATCACACACTTCAACTTTTGTCACATGCTGCGTGGTTTACCCACCTCGGAGTCCTCCTTCTCCAATAAGCTTAGTCTTAAGCACAATGTATAAGTGAGAGAGCCCAGGAGAGCAGAAAATATGCGTTAGAACAGCGCCAATTCCAAAAACGAATGTCATATTCGTAATCAGGACACCAAATAACCCCTATGTGCAAGTTTACAGCGAATTTGGTGAAAACAGCCGTCGTGACAAGGTGGCGCCAACTGGCGCCAAATGGCGCCAGCATCAAAAATGAATGTCATATTCGTAATCAGGGCATCGAATTACCCCTATAGGCAAAGTTTCGACGAAAAATAAAATTTTGAGATTTTGGGGCAGTAATAGTGGAATAGTGCCCAAAAAAGCTTACTTGCCCTAAAAAGTCCTTCCACAGCAGCATCACTACTTATGTGTATCATATTTATATTAAGAATTACGTCTACTGCTAATGGACCATAGTCGGCTGGAAGAGCCCACTGGTTCACCGGTTTCGTGACATCGATGAACAACGGCACTCGAACATTAGCAAGCTGAAAGTAGGACATTTTGGCGCTGCATACCGTACATTTGAACGTCCGTAAACTTAAAAATATGAGATGAAAAATATTGCAAAGGCAAATTCAGTACAGGGTGCTATCGCAAGACACCAGGTCATTCGGTGGCAATGCATTTATAACCGCTCCAAACATCTGTCTGTGAAAATCAGGACTAAGCCTTAGGCTGGTGTCAGAGTCCGCGATCCGTCGCTGATTTTTCGGTTTCGCTGATTTTCGCGATTTGCGAAAAATTCGACGGATCGCAAAAATTGCAAGTGTGTGAACATTTGAAACACTGAATATGAAACAAGTGGAATCATGAGCAGTCGTCATTCAGCCATCACTATCAAGCAGAAGTGGCGGCAGGATTGGAGAACACCTTGCAGTATTGATCGGGCACTTGTGATTTCCGTGACCCGTCGCGTGAATCGCGCAAATCGCGAAAATCAGCGAAACCTGCGACGGATCGCGGACTCTGACACCAGCCTTAGACTGCGGAGGAGACTCCAGAGTTGTGAATTTGTCCACATCCAGGGA